CAATAACTTAACGCCCAGCCATGATTTTGAAGGATAAGACAAGGGAATACAAGTTCTTTGAATAATAAATTCGTTGACCCTATCTGAAAGTAAGGGCGGCATCCAATTTTTTCCATATTTCTAAAAATATTTATTTTTCTTATATTTTTCTCTCTATTTTTGATTTGTGCCGTAAGGTTATAAACGCAAAAGGATTATTTTTCCGTGTTGTCCGGGAACGATATGTGTCTGTGTGTGTGTTCAGTGTTGTCCGTGACCGATGCGTGTCCGTGTGTGTGTGACCGATGTGACCGTTTGTGTTCGTGTTGCCGGACATACACGGTCACGGACACACATCGGTCCCGGAAAACACGGACACACACGGTCACGGACAACACGGACACATCTGTCCCGGAAAACACGGACACACACGGTCACGGACAACACGGACACATCTGTCCCGGAAAACACGGACACACACGGTCACGGACAACACGGACACATCTGTCCCGGAAAACACGGACACACACGGTCACGGACAACACGGACACATCTGTCCCGGAAAACACGGACACACATCGGTCACACACACACACACACAAGTTATAAGAAAAATAATCATTTTGCGTTTATAGCCTTACGGCACAAATCAAAAATAAAGAAAAATATAAGAAGAATAAATATTTTTAGGAATATGGAAAAAATTGGATGCCGCCCTTACTTTCATATACTGCCAATTCGTTTTATTAGCGCCGCAGGCGAAAATTTTTCAATTTTTGGGTGTTTAAGGAGTCAGAATTGACCAAAACTTTAGAATATTTTATAAAATTTACTCGAAAGTGGACCCGGGCCGGGCCCGGGTTTTTCAGAGGCGACCCGGGCCGGGTTTTCCGGGCTAAAACCCCGAAAACCCGGAAACCCCGAAAAACCGGATTTTCTCAAAAATACCCGGTTCGGGGCCACCGGGCCCGGAAAACCCGGTCCCGGGCCCGGCCCGGGTCCGAGCTCTAATAATTACTTTGCAGGCGTTTACTTTAATTATTTCTTCGCCTTTCTCAAACTCTAAAGAGCAAGCATTACATATATCTTTATAACTTTCTTCGACTTGTAGATTTTCTATAGCTTTAATTTTAAGTTTAATTAGTTTTATTCAAAAAATTTTAAAGAATAGGTGAGAAAATAAAGAGTATGAATGAAAAATTTCAAAAATTCTCAAAGTTTTTGACTTTTTAATTCCAAATAAATACAAAAAATAATTAGACTTACATTTTGGAATTTTGTCAAAATAAAATTGAAATGGGTCAAAACGTCTATATATTTTATTGAAATTGACAGACTTTTGATTATTCTCAACAGTTATTTTCACACTTAAAATATTAATTTGAAATAAAAATTAGAAATATTTTTTTGATTTTGTAATTTTAATATTATTTAATATTATATTTTTTGTTCATTAATTAGGTTATTTGGGTGTTTGGGTATAAAATTATTTGGATGTAAACAAGAAAAATACAAATTATGAAAATACTTACCCTTTAGAATAGTAATAGAATAATATAGGATACCGTTCAGAATAGTCGGCATGGGCTTTCCGAATGCGAGATTGATCCCCCCCTAAAGATTTGCGGCTATCGATTATTATTGAGTGTAAACAAGAAAAATACAAATTATGGACAGCCTAATATCTATTTTACTTTATTTTAGTTTGTTTAGCTATTTCAACAATAATTTTTAGGACAACAGATCTGACATTTTTACCATAAAATTAGCTTTACTTTACAAAAATTGATTTAATTTTTAAATAAATTTTTATTTTAAATTTCCAAACCTCTCATAAACTTTCAAAATTTCATTACATTTATTTAATTCAATAAATTCTTCAGTTCCTTTTTCAAACTTCAAATCTAATTGAAAATCTTTTGGCAATTTTGATTTTTGCCAATTCCAAAAGAAAACTTTATTTGAAAAAATTTTGAAATAATTATTTATTGCATCATTTTCTGTTTTTATTTTGTTTGGAATTGAATTTTGAAATAAATGATTTGCCCCAAAATGTTTAAACAAAAAATTAGCCAAACAAAATGATTGCTTTTCTATAGAAAATTAATTAATTTTATTTTTTAATCATTTTTAAATTTATTCACCCCACATTTATATTTTTCTCATAAATATTACAAACTGTTTAAATACATATGTACATACAATGAATGATAAATTAAATGCTTTAATAGAAGGCACAGGGATTTTATTTTTCAAAGAGTCTCCTTGACAAATGAGTGAGATTCTAATAGAACACTTAACCCTTCTCTTATATTGTACATTTCTACTGGAGTTTCACCGAAAGTTCCGGTTCCGGAATCCGGAACTCAAATTGGATCCGGTTCTGGTCAGAATTTCGGTTCCGGTGAAACACTATAAAGAACCCTGAAGCTTGAAAAATATAGGGAACCAAGCAAATTTTTGGAATGAAAATTTTATCGTTCTGAGTTTTTGAACAATTGTACATATTTTGAGAAAGGAGAAAAAAAAGTAAAATGTGGGGCGGATAAACGTTAGTATGTACTTTATCTATTTTTTAAAATAAAATTTACCCAATTTCTTTTGATAATTTTCTGATAAAATTAAATATTTATTTTTTATTTTATCAAAAATATTTTTAACTTCCAAAACATTCCCATCTCGATTAACAAATTTTTTATTCAATTTAAAACATTCATTTGTGTATTTAGCCCCCATAATTTTTTTCATTTTATTTTTATTTATTTTAATATTTTTGGAAATATTTTCTGAAATTCCTCTTTGAATTTTCCATCCTTTCCAATTTTTCTTTGCAAAAATTTCTGTTTGAATATTTTCTCCAATCAAAAGATAATCGGCAACACAATTAATTTTTTTGGAATTTATTTTAGAATTTAAACATTTAATTAAAATATAAAATAAAATTATTTGTTTTAATCTCATTTTTTCTATTTAAAAATTAAATAATAGAAAGCCTAGCTAAAATTTAATTTTAATTTTGATTAATTAAATATCTAAGGGCATCGATTCTTTTTTAACAAAAGGCCTGTCTATCATAGGCGATTGAATGGGGAATTAAAATTTAATTATTGATTAATGATCGTATGTAAATTTATTTTAATTAAGAATTAATTAAAAGTAAGTATTAAAATAGAAGGCGGAAGCGGAAATAAAAGAGAATGTAATGTGAAAATAAAAGTTTCCTCTACATTTTGCCGTGTAATAAAGCCTTAATAAAGCCTCAAGGCCAATACTTCACCCAAAACCAAAACCGGAAAAGCTTTATATCAGATATCCAAACCGATCTATGCCAATACTATGCAACAAAATTTTTATTAAAGTAATAAAGATTGTTCAGTAGACTCATTCTTGCGATTATTGGGTGTTATCTTTTAATATTTCTCACATTTTTAAAATTTAAAACTATATAGAAAAGCGGCCAAATCTATACTAAAAGATAGCAAAAGATTGGGTTGGTATCCTGGAAGCTATCATAAGCATTGATTATTAACCGCACAACCATTCAACAACCAATTCTTTATTTATGTAGTTTTTACTGAGTTTATGTGTGAAAATAAATCAAAATTATCCTGTAATTTTTTAAAAATTCCAATAGTATTTGATAGTTTAAGAAAAGAGTAATTTTCCAGAAATGATTGAGTTAATTAATAGAGAGATTCATTTAATTCAAAATTGACTTCCAAACAATGATTCGTTGGAGTTTTGATAAATAAGTAGTACTGAAAATTTTTTTATAAAAAACTTTTTCCAGGTTGATTAGATTTTTAAAAAGTTATATTTTAAAAAACTTTTAATTAAGTTTAACTTTTAATTAAGTTAAAAACATCAAAAAGATAACATTCAATAATCGTAAGAATTATTGGATGATTTTTAAAAATCCAATTAAAATTAAAAATCTCCTTTTTTCCAATAATGGCCTTTGTGTGAGGGATTAAAAAATAGAGCGGAATTCAGTTCTTTTAGAGAAAATACGGCAGACCGTTAAGGCGTCTATCAATTAGAAGGGTTAGGAGTAGAATATAAAATGTTTAATAAATTTATCACATCGAAAAAAAACTTTATAATATATAAATAGTACAAGTTTACATATATAAAATAAAACATTAATTTCAACCATTACACCCTTTGGTCGAATTATAGAACAATAAAAACATAAAAATGTTGGTCTTCCATTTAAAATATAAACATTTTAAAACATTACGTAAATATGTACATTTTTAGGCAAAACTTCAATCACTTTTCCCTTAAAAAACTCTGAAATTAAATAATTCTATAATTAGAGATTTAATATAATTCTAATTAGAGATCGGACTGGAAGGGTCGTACGAGAATCGAGATCTCGATAAATTCTCGATAGGCTCGGATTTTTGATCAAGATCTCGTCTTAATCCGGTCTCCAATTCAAATTATTTTTCAAAAATTTTAAATTTTGAGTAAATTTAGATGTTTTTAATTTGATTAAAATTATTCTTTAACGGCTATTTTAGGTAAATATATAGAATATAATTTGGTTTTGGTGACGACCTCTTTGCCTTAACTTAAGTACAATTTTGCTTATGTATAAGAAAAGCATTTTTCCTTAAAATAGAGTCAAAAGTTAATATCCCGTTCTAAATATTTTAAAAATTCTAAAACTTTAAAATTTTCTTTACTTTTAAGGGTTGTTTGTTTCTTCAATTTCTATTTGTTTTCGACAAAGTGGGCAAGCTTTTGTATTCTGTTAAATAAATTTTATTATTTAAATATTTTATTATTAATATAAAAATACTTTAAAAGAACCGATCTCATCCGCTTCTTTTGTATAAAACCTTTTTAATTTAAATTAATTTTAAATAAAAAACAAATATTATTACCATTTTATAATGCAAAATTCATGAAATTTGTGCTAAAATAATTTAGAGTAAATTTAGTTAGGACAGTAATTGAATAAACGACAACATGACAGTTAGAAAATAACAAGAGGAAAAGCTTAGCAAAAGCCTAGCCACCGAGCAGGATTGAACCTGCAACCTCCTGACAGTTATTGATAGGAGCTTTCGCTCACCATACATATACAGGAGCTCTACCAGTGAGCTATTGGGGCACCGACTAATGCTTTCTTTTATCCTTTTAGACAAGCTCGTTTAAACAAACGGCAACAGGAGGACAAAATTAAACAAGAAAATATTTAAAAACTTTAACGAACCCCGCATTCTAATTTCTGTGCAGATTCTCTAATTTCAAATTCTGTAGAACAAACAACACATTCAACATCTTTTTCCTCTATATTTACAGCTATATTTTTAAAAAATTAATTAATGTCAATTAATTTCTACTTACAATCACCAATTTTTGGAATTTTGTTTAAAAAGAAATTCTTTTTAAAGAAATGACTGTATATCTTTGAAAAAAGATTTTTGGTTCTAAAATTCAAACAAATTTTTTTTTATAATTTCAAAATTAAAATTCTTGCTTAGTTTTTGTGTTAAGAATTTCATTGCATTTATTTAATTCTTTATATTCTTTTGTATTTTCCTTAAAATTCACGTCCTCATAACTTAATTCTTCGGGTAAATTATCCCATCTATAAACCTTATTAAGCTCCTTAATTGGAAGTTTATGATGATTATATATTGCATCAATCTGGTTAGATATCTCCTTTGGTGCTTCGTATTCAATTAAATATTCTTTGTTAAATCCAAATATTTTTAAGAGAAAAAATGCCAAACAAGAAGATTGTTTTTCTTTAAAATTATAGGAAAAATTCTGTCATATGTCCCTGAAACCGATTCGGACAAACGATGTCCAATTCGATGGGTCAGTCCCGAAGCTAATTTTGGTGTCAATTAACCCGGTATCCGGGTTTTTTTCTTCCGCCCCGACCCGGGCCGGGTTTTCCGGGCTAAAACCCCGAAAACCCGGAAACCCCGAAAACCCGGTTTTTTTACACCCGGGCCCGGACCCGGTTTTTTCAAAATTTTAAAAATGGTCAAATTTTAGTTTTTTCGCTAAAATTTTTCTTATTTTGAATAAAAATAATTGAAATTTGGTTTCATCTTTCATCTATACGTGTTTATTCAAAGGATTTAGAGATATTAATGTGAATTTAATGGATTAAGGGAAATATTGGTGGATTTGGCAGGTCTGGAGGGAATATTAGCGATTTACAAGGATGATATGGTCCCCTATATACCTCTAAATCCAGATATCTTCTCTATAATTATTTAATCTGTGATTTGGTGTGGTTAATGTAGATTAGTAGAATTAAGGCGGATATCGGGGATAAATTTGGGTCTAAATATTATCGGGGGATTTTGCAGGACTAAAGGGCATATCCGCAATTTGGATAGGCTGTCGAAATGCAAATTTTAATATTTCTAATCGAAACGAAATAAAAAAATATTCCCTTAAATCTTTCAATATTCCCTTAGATATGTCTATATCGTTATTAATCCCCAATGAATCGATGTCTCAATGCTCGATATCTCAACTAAAACCCCTAATCTATTTTAATCCCTACAAAAATCATGAATCTTAATTAATCCTGATAAATCCTTTTTAGTTACTTCTAATCCCTCAATATCCCTTCATTAGGATGCCCAATCCTCAATAACTTAACGCCCAGCCATGATTTTGAAGGATAAGACAAGGGAATACAAGTTCTTTGAATAATAAATTCGTTGACCCTATCTGAAAGTAAGGGCGGCATCCAATTTTTTCCATATTTCTAAAAATATTTATTTTTCTTATATTTTTCTCTCTATTTTTGATTTGTGCCGTAAGGTTATAAACGCAAAAGGATTATTTTTCCGTGTTGTCCGGGAACGATATGTGTCTGTGTGTGTGTTCAGTGTTGTCCGTGACCGATGCGTGTCCGTGTGTGTGTGACCGATGTGACCGTTTGTGTTCGTGTTGCCGGACATACACGGTCACGGACACACATCGGTCCCGGAAAACACGGACACACACGGTCACGGACAACACGGACACATCTGTCCCGGAAAACACGGACACACACGGTCACGGACAACACGGACACATCTGTCCCGGAAAACACGGACACACACGGTCACGGACAACACGGACACATCTGTCCCGGAAAACACGGACACACACGGTCACGGACAACACGGACACATCTGTCCCGGAAAACACGGACACACATCGGTCACACACACACACACACAAGTTATAAGAAAAATAATCATTTTGCGTTTATAGCCTTACGGCACAAATCAAAAATAAAGAAAAATATAAGAAGAATAAATATTTTTAGGAATATGGAAAAAATTGGATGCCGCCCTTACTTTCATATACTGCCAATTCGTTTTATTAGCGCCGCAGGCGAAAATTTTTCAATTTTTGGGTGTTTAAGGAGTCAGAATTGACCAAAACTTTAGAATATTTTATAAAATTTACTCGAAAGTGGACCCGGGCCGGGCCCGGGTTTTTCAGAGGCGACCCGGGCCGGGTTTTCCGGGCTAAAACCCCGAAAACCCGGAAACCCCGAAAAACCGGATTTTCTCAAAAATACCCGGTTCGGGGCCACCGGGCCCGGAAAACCCGGTCCCGGGCCCGGCCCGGGTCCGAGCTCTAATAATTACTTTGCAGGCGTTTACTTTAATTATTTCTTCGCCTTTCTCAAACTCTAAAGAGCAAGCATTACATATATCTTTATAACTTTCTTCGACTTGTAGATTTTCTATAGCTTTAATTTTAAGTTTAATTAGTTTTATTCAAAAAATTTTAAAGAATAGGTGAGAAAATAAAGAGTATGAATGAAAAATTTCAAAAATTCTCAAAGTTTTTGACTTTTTAATTCCAAATAAATACAAAAAATAATTAGACTTACATTTTGGAATTTTGTCAAAATAAAATTGAAATGGGTCAAAACGTCTATATATTTTATTGAAATTGACAGACTTTTGATTATTCTCAACAGTTATTTTCACACTTAAAATATTAATTTGAAATAAAAATTAGAAATATTTTTTTGATTTTGTAATTTTAATATTATTTAATATTATATTTTTTGTTCATTAATTAGGTTATTTGGGTGTTTGGGTATAAAATTATTTGGATGTAAACAAGAAAAATACAAATTATGAAAATACTTACCCTTTAGAATAGTAATAGAATAATATAGGATACCGTTCAGAATAGTCGGCATGGGCTTTCCGAATGCGAGATTGATCCCCCCCTAAAGATTTGCGGCTATCGATTATTATTGAGTGTAAACAAGAAAAATACAAATTATGGACAGCCTAATATCTATTTTACTTTATTTTAGTTTGTTTAGCTATTTCAACAATAATTTTTAGGACAACAGATCTGACATTTTTACCATAAAATTAGCTTTACTTTACAAAAATTGATTTAATTTTTAAATAAATTTTTATTTTAAATTTCCAAACCTCTCATAAACTTTCAAAATTTCATTACATTTATTTAATTCAATAAATTCTTCAGTTCCTTTTTCAAACTTCAAATCTAATTGAAAATCTTTTGGCAATTTTGATTTTTGCCAATTCCAAAAGAAAACTTTATTTGAAAAAATTTTGAAATAATTATTTATTGCATCATTTTCTGTTTTTATTTTGTTTGGAATTGAATTTTGAAATAAATGATTTGCCCCAAAATGTTTAAACAAAAAATTAGCCAAACAAAATGATTGCTTTTCTATAGAAAATTAATTAATTTTATTTTTTAATCATTTTTAAATTTATTCACCCCACATTTATATTTTTCTCATAAATATTACAAACTGTTTAAATACATATGTACATACAATGAATGATAAATTAAATGCTTTAATAGAAGGCACAGGGATTTTATTTTTCAAAGAGTCTCCTTGACAAATGAGTGAGATTCTAATAGAACACTTAACCCTTCTCTTATATTGTACATTTCTACTGGAGTTTCACCGAAAGTTCCGGTTCCGGAATCCGGAACTCAAATTGGATCCGGTTCTGGTCAGAATTTCGGTTCCGGTGAAACACTATAAAGAACCCTGAAGCTTGAAAAATATAGGGAACCAAGCAAATTTTTGGAATGAAAATTTTATCGTTCTGAGTTTTTGAACAATTGTACATATTTTGAGAAAGGAGAAAAAAAAGTAAAATGTGGGGCGGATAAACGTTAGTATGTACTTTATCTATTTTTTAAAATAAAATTTACCCAATTTCTTTTGATAATTTTCTGATAAAATTAAATATTTATTTTTTATTTTATCAAAAATATTTTTAACTTCCAAAACATTCCCATCTCGATTAACAAATTTTTTATTCAATTTAAAACATTCATTTGTGTATTTAGCCCCCATAATTTTTTTCATTTTATTTTTATTTATTTTAATATTTTTGGAAATATTTTCTGAAATTCCTCTTTGAATTTTCCATCCTTTCCAATTTTTCTTTGCAAAAATTTCTGTTTGAATATTTTCTCCAATCAAAAGATAATCGGCAACACAATTAATTTTTTTGGAATTTATTTTAGAATTTAAACATTTAATTAAAATATAAAATAAAATTATTTGTTTTAATCTCATTTTTTCTATTTAAAAATTAAATAATAGAAAGCCTAGCTAAAATTTAATTTTAATTTTGATTAATTAAATATCTAAGGGCATCGATTCTTTTTTAACAAAAGGCCTGTCTATCATAGGCGATTGAATGGGGAATTAAAATTTAATTATTGATTAATGATCGTATGTAAATTTATTTTAATTAAGAATTAATTAAAAGTAAGTATTAAAATAGAAGGCGGAAGCGGAAATAAAAGAGAATGTAATGTGAAAATAAAAGTTTCCTCTACATTTTGCCGTGTAATAAAGCCTTAATAAAGCCTCAAGGCCAATACTTCACCCAAAACCAAAACCGGAAAAGCTTTATATCAGATATCCAAACCGATCTATGCCAATACTATGCAACAAAATTTTTATTAAAGTAATAAAGATTGTTCAGTAGACTCATTCTTGCGATTATTGGGTGTTATCTTTTAATATTTCTCACATTTTTAAAATTTAAAACTATATAGAAAAGCGGCCAAATCTATACTAAAAGATAGCAAAAGATTGGGTTGGTATCCTGGAAGCTATCATAAGCATTGATTATTAACCGCACAACCATTCAACAACCAATTCTTTATTTATGTAGTTTTTACTGAGTTTATGTGTGAAAATAAATCAAAATTATCCTGTAATTTTTTAAAAATTCCAATAGTATTTGATAGTTTAAGAAAAGAGTAATTTTCCAGAAATGATTGAGTTAATTAATAGAGAGATTCATTTAATTCAAAATTGACTTCCAAACAATGATTCGTTGGAGTTTTGATAAATAAGTAGTACTGAAAATTTTTTTATAAAAAACTTTTTCCAGGTTGATTAGATTTTTAAAAAGTTATATTTTAAAAAACTTTTAATTAAGTTTAACTTTTAATTAAGTTAAAAACATCAAAAAGATAACATTCAATAATCGTAAGAATTATTGGATGATTTTTAAAAATCCAATTAAAATTAAAAATCTCCTTTTTTCCAATAATGGCCTTTGTGTGAGGGATTAAAAAATAGAGCGGAATTCAGTTCTTTTAGAGAAAATACGGCAGACCGTTAAGGCGTCTATCAATTAGAAGGGTTAGGAGTAGAATATAAAATGTTTAATAAATTTATCACATCGAAAAAAAACTTTATAATATATAAATAGTACAAGTTTACATATATAAAATAAAACATTAATTTCAACCATTACACCCTTTGGTCGAATTATAGAACAATAAAAACATAAAAATGTTGGTCTTCCATTTAAAATATAAACATTTTAAAACATTACGTAAATATGTACATTTTTAGGCAAAACTTCAATCACTTTTCCCTTAAAAAACTCTGAAATTAAATAATTCTATAATTAGAGATTTAATATAATTCTAATTAGAGATCGGACTGGAAGGGTCGTACGAGAATCGAGATCTCGATAAATTCTCGATAGGCTCGGATTTTTGATCAAGATCTCGTCTTAATCCGGTCTCCAATTCAAATTATTTTTCAAAAATTTTAAATTTTGAGTAAATTTAGATGTTTTTAATTTGATTAAAATTATTCTTTAACGGCTATTTTAGGTAAATATATAGAATATAATTTGGTTTTGGTGACGACCTCTTTGCCTTAACTTAAGTACAATTTTGCTTATGTATAAGAAAAGCATTTTTCCTTAAAATAGAGTCAAAAGTTAATATCCCGTTCTAAATATTTTAAAAATTCTAAAACTTTAAAATTTTCTTTACTTTTAAGGGTTGTTTGTTTCTTCAATTTCTATTTGTTTTCGACAAAGTGGGCAAGCTTTTGTATTCTGTTAAATAAATTTTATTATTTAAATATTTTATTATTAATATAAAAATACTTTAAAAGAACCGATCTCATCCGCTTCTTTTGTATAAAACCTTTTTAATTTAAATTAATTTTAAATAAAAAACAAATATTATTACCATTTTATAATGCAAAATTCATGAAATTTGTGCTAAAATAATTTAGAGTAAATTTAGTTAGGACAGTAATTGAATAAACGACAACATGACAGTTAGAAAATAACAAGAGGAAAAGCTTAGCAAAAGCCTAGCCACCGAGCAGGATTGAACCTGCAACCTCCTGACAGTTATTGATAGGAGCTTTCGCTCACCATACATATACAGGAGCTCTACCAGTGAGCTATTGGGGCACCGACTAATGCTTTCTTTTATCCTTTTAGACAAGCTCGTTTAAACAAACGGCAACAGGAGGACAAAATTAAACAAGAAAATATTTAAAAACTTTAACGAACCCCGCATTCTAATTTCTGTGCAGATTCTCTAATTTCAAATTCTGTAGAACAAACAACACATTCAACATCTTTTTCCTCTATATTTACAGCTATATTTTTAAAAAATTAATTAATGTCAATTAATTTCTACTTACAATCACCAATTTTTGGAATTTTGTTTAAAAAGAAATTCTTTTTAAAGAAATGACTGTATATCTTTGAAAAAAGATTTTTGGTTCTAAAATTCAAACAAATTTTTTTTTATAATTTCAAAATTAAAATTCTTGCTTAGTTTTTGTGTTAAGAATTTCATTGCATTTATTTAATTCTTTATATTCTTTTGTATTTTCCTTAAAATTCACGTCCTCATAACTTAATTCTTCGGGTAAATTATCCCATCTATAAACCTTATTAAGCTCCTTAATTGGAAGTTTATGATGATTATATATTGCATCAATCTGGTTAGATATCTCCTTTGGTGCTTCGTATTCAATTAAATATTCTTTGTTAAATCCAAATATTTTTAAGAGAAAAAATGCCAAACAAGAAGATTGTTTTTCTTTAAAATTATAGGAAAAATTCTGTCATATGTCCCTGAAACCGATTCGGACAAACGATGTCCAATTCGATGGGTCAGTCCCGAAGCTAATTTTGGTGTCATTTGACTCAACTCGCCGAGCTCCTTCAAATGACATATCTTTTGTCCAAATCGGTTTCCGGGACGTATGACAGAATTTTGCCTCATTAAATTAAAATTTACCCAATTTCTTTTGATAAATTTTTGATAAAATTAAATATTTATTTTCCATTTTATTCAAAATATTTTTAACTTCCAAAACTTTCTCATCTTTATTACCCAATCCATTCAGTTTAAAACATTCATTTGTGTATTTAACCCCCATAATTTTTTCCATTTCTTTTTTATTTATTTTAATATCCTCTACACTTTCTAAAATCCCTTGTTGAATTTTCCATTCATCGCCGATTTTTTGACCAAAAGGTTTTGTTTTGATATTTTTAGAAAGCAAAAGAAAATCGGCAACACAATTAAATTGATCTAGAAAAAAATATTTTCTCGGATATCAAAATTAAGGACAATTTTTAATTCGAAAATAAGTAACGACTCCCACTTAGTCCATATATGAAAGAACACTCACAAATCAGAGCTGAGTCGAATAACACCAAACTTAACGTGATTGAACAAGTTTTGATCCGCGAAACGGTTTTTGCCGCTATGGAAGAAGCCAGGCATGTCCACCCCGCCAGGTACCGTATTTACTAAGGATAATTGCCCTGGGAATTATCGTTTCGATCTCTCGCTGCAGGGGAATTAATAGAGGCATGGTAATTACTTAAGGGAGAGACATTAAGCATTTTACGGTATATCGACCGAATCAGATTCTGGTCCCAAAAAGTAATTTTTTCCTAAAAATATTTAATTATCCTCACCAAAATCTTGATATTCATTCGACAAAATTAAATATTTTTTCTTAATATTTTTAACAAGATATTTAACAATTAAAACTTTTTTTGAAGTATTTTCGTCTACAATAACAAATTCTTTGTTTTCTTCAAAACAAAAATTATCCTCTTCATAAAATTCTTTCATTTCATTTTCTTCAATTTTCAAATTTTTAACCAATTTTTTTGGAATTCCTCTAATAACTTTCACTTCCTTACCAACTTTTTCAATAAAAATTTCAGCTTTAAGATTTCTTTCAATCAAAAGATAATCGGCAACACAATTAATTTGTTTATCACTAATATTACTAGTAATTTGTTTTTCATTTCCAAAACATGAAAGACTAGACAAACAAGTCGATTGTTTTAAGGGAAAAAATAAAAGAAATGTATAAATCCAATACATTTTCTCTAATTAATTAAAAATTAAATTTTAATGTCTATATAAAAACAATTATTTCGAATTTTAATTTAATAAATTAATCAGTCATTTTCCATTGTTTAATATATGAAGACGTGTTAATAGATTTTACTTCCTTATTAAAAACCTTCACCCCTCCCACATACGTCGAAAAATCAATATGAAAAATTTTTAAATTGAAAAACCAGAATCGAAAACGGCAATGTTAAAATGTTTGTTGCATGTTTTAAGCTTATGCAAAAAACCCAACAAAGCTTAAGAAATTTTAACAGATGTCCAGTCCAATTTTTGGTTATTATTTATTAATACTCCGAGTAAATATAGCAGAAATCACAGGCTTTCTTTGAATTTTTATGATTTTTATTTGCTTTGTTTTTCCAATTTTATCTGCTAAATTAAGACTTTTTAAAAGATAAATTAAAAGACTTTTTATTTGTCAGCAAATCTATAGAGAAACACAAGATTTATGTATTGTTAGAAGGGTATTTTTAAAGATTTTAAGACAGAGTTGCTATAAACTATTTAGTTAATTAGAAACGAAAAATATTTTGCTTTTTAAAAAACTAAAAAGACCATTAAAGGAATATTTTCCAATATATTTAAAGATTTTCTTTAAACTTTAATAACAACTCTGTTTTTACAACAAAAAGAGGATTTAATCAATTGCCTAAAATGTTAAAAGAAAATTTTACGGAAATTTAATTCTACTAAAATCATTGTTTTCTTAACTAAAAATTTTTTAAATCAAAATTCAATAGGACAAACATATATTTTCCTTATTTATCCTCCAAACTATCAATAATAAGTTTCACGCTCAACCCATCCTTTTGGATAACGACGAATCAAATAACGGCGAAATTCATCGTAAACAAAAATGAGTATCGAAAAGGGGATTGCCGGGAACCACCAAGTAAATCTTTAAATGACCACATTAATTCGTTTAAACAGAAGGAATAATCTAACTCACCTAAGTCCATACATGCGAAGGCCCTGATCTGTTCCAGGAAGGTAGCAGAGAAGAGCAGCAAGTACAGTCTCAAAAACTAATCCAAAATTCAAAATCCAATTAGACATTCCCTGCTGAACAATTGAATTTCGGCGGGTTTTAGAAATTATAAGATCAGCCCATTGGACAATAACGATGGAGACAAAATAGGCAGTTTGACATGTATGTTCCAAAATTTTTCGGTTTGCATAGGTCTAAAAATAAAAATTGTTTAAATATTAAAAAATTAAATTTTTTACCCATTCTTGTCCATAGCTATCCAAAACATTATTTATTGCACGCGAATCCCATTCAGCGCGGAGTTGGAACAAATCAAGAGGCATAAATCCATTGTCAGCCATAATCCAAAAGTACTTAAAATTAATTTTTTAATGTTTAATGATTAATTTAAAATTACAGAAAAGAATCCAGCAGATGCCTGTATCATTCCAATTTGACCATAAGCTAAAGAAATTAAACGTTCATTAACAAGTTTGTCTCGGAAAGGATCGCGAGGTTGACGCTTCATTATGTCAGACTCTGACTCTTCATAAGCCAAGCTAATTGCTGGTACCTTTGTTAAAAAAATTTATTTTTCTAAATATAAAATAACCATATCCGTCCCCAAATCAATGCAAAGAATTGTAACTGTTCCCAATGGTAATGGAATTCCAAGAATAATATGAACGAGAAATGGAGAAATTTCTGGGATGTTTGAAGTAAGTGTATAAGCAATCGACTTCTTCAAATTATCAAAAATTAAACGTCCTTCCTCAACGCCAGTAACAATCGACTAAATTTTTTAATATTTTAAAAATCTAAAAAAATTACAGCAAAATTATCGTCCAACAGAATCATGTCCGCCGCTTGTTTTGAAACATCAGAGCCAGCAATGCCTGATTTTAATTTTTTTAAAATCTCTGAAAATAAAAACAAACCCATAGCAACACCAATATCTGCTTTTTTCAATGCAGGAGAGTCATTAACACCATCCCCAGTAACTGCAACAATCTGCCCGCTACGTTGGAATCCTTCAACAATCATCAACTTTTGTTGAGGCGATGTTCGAGCAAACACAATTTCAGAATGTTCAGCAATAATCTCGTTAAGCTGATCCTCAGTCCTATAAAATATTAAAATTTAATTTAAAAAATGATGAAAATAAACATTTCTCTCAAATCAGATCCATGAACAACAATAGCTTTTGCCTCTCTAAAATAAACAATTTTAAATAGAATCATATTAAGCTTTATCAAAAAACCTAGGATTAACTTGTGTAACTGGGATTCCTTTACGAATAGCAATATCCTCGACAGTCTCAGTTTCTGGGGAAATAATTCCAACAGATTTGGCTATCGCTTTTGCAGTAATTGGATGATCACCAGTAACCATAACAACCTGAATTTATGAAATTAAAAAACAATTGCTAAATTAAACTTTAATTCCAGCACTACGACATTTTGCAACAGCATCGGGTACAGCCGCTCGAGGAGGATCAATCATTGAAATAAGCCCTAGGAAGCAGAGACCATCAATGGGAAAGTTTGGATTATCAGTATCAAATTTAAAGTCCTAAAAAAACATAAAAATCATTATTGATTTATAGTTTCCCCAACCTTTGGATATTTCTCTTTATCTAGAACAGAATCACAAAAACCAAGAACTCTTTCGCCCATCCCTCCCAATTCCATATAAGCAATTTCAAATGTTTCTTTTAATTTATCATCAAGTTGACGGATCTGTCCATCAATTAGAATTTTATCGCAACGAGCCAAAACTCTTTCTGGCGCTCCTTTCATAACCAACAAATTGGAATCATTTTCGTACGCATGAATAGAAACCTGTTTAAAGATTTGAACTAAAATAAGCTAAAAATAAAAAAAGACTTGATATTTGTTTGTTGAATTGAATGGAATTTCAGCAATTTTAGGATGACCAGCACGATACTGAATGACTCCACCATATAAAGAGCGTTCAGCAAATTTTAGTAAAGCAATTTCTGAAGCATCTCCAGTGCAATCACGTTTAAGAATTGGAACGTCATCCTTGAAAAATATTTTTTATACAACCCTAATTACAAAATTTTAAACCTGTCCAGGTTTAAATTCAGCTCTGTTGCAAAGAGCAGCAACACGAAGCAATTCTGATGCATTTTTCTGTTTATCCACATTATCATCAGCAGCGGCATCTTCCGAGGTGTTGACGGTTTCAATATTTAAATTCTGCCAAATGTGGGCGACAGTCATTCTATAAAAATTAAATTAAACAATATGGAAGCGAGAAAGCATATTTTAAAATCATCACTACTATATTAGCTGCACACAAATTCATAAAACTCAAAACTTGCCTATTCTGTGTTAATGTGCCAGTTTTGTCAGAGCAAATGGTTGAAGTCGAGCCAAGTGTCTCAACTGCCTCCAAATTCTTAACAAGACAATTGCGTTGAGCCATACGTTTAGCAGTCAAAGTCAGGCAAACAGTAACGGTTGCAATCAAGCCTTTAAAAAATAATTAATAAAAAACAAAAATGTTTTAAAAACCTTCGGGAACATTAGCAACAATTATTCCGATAAGGAAGACGACTGCAGTAAGCCAATGATAACCAAGAATGAAAGCTATAATAAAGAATGTAACGCCCAAAAAGACAGCGACACTGAAAAAATTTTTAAAGTATAAAAAACAAAAATAAGCATACGCTGTAATAATATGAATAAAATGTTCAATTTCTCGAGCAATTGGCGTCTTTCCAGAATCTAAATCGGATGCCAAATGAGCAATACGTCCCATGACCTAAAATAATTTTTGTTAATTCAAGTTAAAAAAGAACACAAAAAGTATCAAAATAACCGTTCTATCTCCCGTGTTCACAACAACACCGGTAGCAGTTCCCTCAACGGCATTAGTCGAAAAGAAAGCCAAATTACGAGCTTCTAACGGCTCATCCTCAGATTGTTCGTTTGTACGAGTTTGTGGCTCGGACTCTCCGGTCAAAGAAGAATTATCAACCTTTAAAAATATGTTTAAAAATTCCAAATAATTCAAACCTTAAAACCATGCGCTCTAATAATTCGAATATCAGCAGGAATGCGATCACCACCCTTGACTTCAACAATATCACCGACAACCAAATTAGCGCTTGGAATCTAAATTTTATTAAAACCTATATAAATAATTACTATAAAAAATATTTAAAGATTAAAATACACCAATAAAACAAGACGACCCAGACCGACAGTTACAAGCCTGTCCTTTTAATAAATACCAGGGATCGCGCCGACCCACTTCCCGAAAATCGTGAATTCTCGACGTTTTTTGGCACGTGAATTACCGATTCCCGAAAATTGGGAATTTGATTTTCTGTCGGCGCGTTCCCTGATAAATACAGCCCGAAGGCCTTGAATCGAAAATCAACCCAGAATCGATAAAACTGGACTTAAAAGTTATCAAAAAATCCAAAAAAGCCCGATAAGTTAAGACACCTGTCGTTTCTCTCCATCACGAATTATCAAAGCAAAAGTCGGCACAAGATTTTTGAACGATTCCATAATCTGTGAACTTTTCCGCTCTTGAAAGTACTGAAAACATCCAGTAATAATAACCACAGTCATCAACACAATTCCCAAATAAAGCTAAAATTATAAAAAATATTTAAATAAAAATAATCTTTTTACATTGTCTTTCGATGGATGTTCAAGAGTCATAGCATCAACAGTGTGTGCAACATAGCAAAGAAGAGCGCCAACCCACAAAAGAAGAGCAAAACCGCCAAACAAATTCTTGCAGAATTTCACCCATTCAGGTGTTGTACGTGGTGGAGAAAGTGCATTTAACCCATCACGAGCCAAAACCTTCTCGGCCTGAGCACTTGTCAAACCCTTAGAATTTTAGATACATATTTTTAGATAAGAAATAAAACCCTTTCAATATCGGTTTCATAAGCAGCACATAATTCTTCCAAAGGAATACGATGTTCATCCTTAAACGATAAATTAATAAAAAAAATGAAGAGTTACTCGTAGAATGAGCTCAGGTCCGTAGCCAGGATATATTTTCAGGGGGGGGGCAAACGAAGAAAATTTTTCTGCGTAAATTTTTGGACGAACTTTTGAGAATTTTAGAAAACCGTAGGCCAAAAAAATTCACTTTTTTGCCCAATCCCTTCCCCAAATTTTTACTTTACCCCATTTCGGAGGGTTGGGGGGAGGGGGGTTCCCTCCACCCCTAGCTATGGCCCTGAATGATCAAGCCAAAAAAATAATTATAAAATCCATAACGACACAAGGAGAAAATAAAAGCCCGATTCTTCCCTTAATAAAAATTTTAAAAATAACCATTTTCATTTCCTTCTTAAGCTCAGCCAAATCTTCGGTTTTCTTCTCATCGTTTGATTTGACTTTGAACGATTTTTTGATAGTATTCTTTTTATCCTTCCATCCGCCTTTCTTTTTGTCGTTATTTCCTCGTTCACCCGTAAGAGGAACTATTGCTTCATCCGCTTGACGACCCGGCGGCCGCTGAAAATTTTTAAGGTATTCTTCGTTTATCACTACCTTTTTTGCGGACTAACTTATGTATAAATGGCTTATTGAATGCTGCCACAGGTAAATAGTGATAATGAGAAAGAACGACTGACCATTCTTTACATAAATGAGTCCGCAAAGGGAAAGACTCTAACGGCCCAATTAGATAAAAATGAGGCCCGAAAAAATGATCGAACATCCCGGTTCGAAAACGGCAACCCTAATTATTGGGTGAAAATAAGAACCTGATCATCAGCCATGCTTTATTCAATTATAATTGTTTAATAAAGTTTGCCAATTTATCTAAAAATGATAGAATTTTTGATTAAATTGAATATCAGGGTTGGGCAAAACGGTTAAGCGAACCGAAACCGTTAACCGGGGTTTTGCCGAATTAACCAGAACCTAAATAGGAGATACCGGTTAATAACTGGTTATGTCAACCCTAATCCGCATAAAAATAAAATTGAAAAAATCGAGATTTCGGAAAATAAAAAGGATTTCTTTAAAAAATTCGATCTTTTGAAGTAAAATTGGCGAAAAACTTCAAAATATCTAAAATCAAAACACTCGAAAGACGAAAAATTTTAAAAATGTCTAATGTACAAGTGCACCGTTGATTTGATTATTTAATCGAATGGAGGCAATTTAAATAGAAATTGTCAAGAATGAAAGAACGAAAGGGTCAGAATTTAAGCTTTTCTTTAAATTTAATTCGAAAATGACTCAACAAAAAATATTAGTAATTAGCTTTACCAACAATTTTTTATTTTCTGTTGACAGACTTTAACTGCAATTGGTGAATAAATTCTTATGCTTTGACTAAAAGAAAAAAGAGCCGCAGCGGATTAAGCAAGCTTATTCTATCGATTTTTTAAAGTGGGTATGTCGTGTTTATTTTTATATGTGGCAGAGTAAACAGAAAAGCTTTAGTAATTCGTTTAGAAGAAATTTTCCCGACTAGCTTAATATTCTTTTCTAGACAAAAAAAATATAAAAATAGAAAAAGTTGAGGTACTAGACTTTATATTAGAAGAATTTTGGTTTCCTCTTTTTTGTGATTTTTGAGATTTGTTAGTTTGGAATATTGACCGGCAAAATTGCGTTTGCGGGATCCCGCGGGATAAAATTTTTTTAAAATCTGCGGGACGGAATTCCGCAAAATCCCGCGCGGGTCACTAGTTTGGGACTAAAAAGCATTTGATAATACTGATGAAAATACATATTTTATTTTTTCAGAAATATGTATGTACACGAGAAAAACATTTCAGCATTTTGTGATTTTGTCCTACATGAAGAGTAAAAAACATGCAATTTTAAGTTTTGATTTCTCAAATTTTCTAGACAAAGAATTAGATAAAATCAATTAGAAATGTGAGCAACGATAAATGTTAACTTTCTTTTTAATTTTTGAAAATGATATTTTATCAATTTTCATTCTCTCTTCAAATAAATGAGCTCTATAATTGTCAAATTTTTTTCGCATGAGCAATTTATTTTGAAGGTCAAATGAAAATAAAATATTACGGCACTACTGAAGAAAAGGGTGCTTTTTCTGCGGACTTTTTTTGCGGACTTTTCCTTTCTTTTAAATGTTTTACTTGTAGCAACTAACTGTCAAAGGTCCTCCCCCCTATTATTTTTCTTACCTAAGATTGTACATAAAGGTCAGATTTTCTTCTTCCTCTCCTTCCTCTATTTGCTCTGTGGCATATTCAAACAAGTGACATTGATAAAGAGAAGATTAATTTTATACATAGTCATACACTTATTTTTTGCCTTCGAAAACAATTTAAACCAAAAAAGAATTAAATAAAATTGATTTGGTGTATAACATTATGAATTTCTGTGTAAAAACATTACATTCTTACTTATATTTAAAAATATTGAACAACTGAAAAAATAAAATGAACTCAATATTGAACAACCATTTTGTACAATCTTAGGTAATAAAAATAATGGGGAGGGGACAAGGTTTGAAATTACCCGCATTTCTGTCCACAATCACATATTCTTTTTCTATGAAGCATTCCGAGATCAGTGATCCATTGTTGAAATTCATCATCGGGTAATTGAAAATATAGTTAAAGTCAATTTTAACGTTTATAATGTTCAAATTAATGGTGAACACATATTTTTCAAATTGACATAAAAATCAATCCTTTGACCGTTAGTTGCTACAAGCAAAACTTGCTACAAGCAAGACAAACAAAACATTAAAAAAGAAACATTTAAAAGAAAGGAAAAGTCCGCAAAATAAGTCCGCAGAAAAAGCACCCTTTTCTTCAGTAGTACCAATATTACATTTAATTGTTTTTTATTCTAAATTTTTAAATGAGTAAAAATATTACACTTAAACATTAAGTATATTATCCTAGCAATAATGTTACGAGACGTCTGGTGATTTCTGTAGTGAGTTAAATGAGTTATAAAAGTTGGAAAATTATTTTTACACAAAAACATTTTGAGTAACAATGGAAAAACAATTATGAGTGAAGTAAAGCAGCTGGGCTATAGCTATTTCTCTCCTTCTGCTAGAGGTTAATCGGCGGCTGGGTGCGAACCAGCATCTTCAGTAGATCGGACTGATGTGTTATCCATTACACCACGCCGCCTACTGCATAGCCTTTCGCTACTATATGCTTTACAGTGATTTGCTTTTTTAAGAAAATCTAAAAATTTTCGTTTGTGTTGGAGATGTCAATTTTCCGTGTCTCAATTTTCTCAGCCTCAATCCCAGCTCAGAAAGTTATTTAAGTCTTTCCCAGTCTTGAGCCTTTTCGCAATTCTCGTTTTTCGATGCACTTTGAATTATGAAATATATTCTATGTCTGTTTAAAAGTCAAATTAGCTTTGACATTTGCCGAAAAATAAATTTATTTTTGTCTTAAAGTGCATACATATGTAAATAGCAAATTAGCTTGCTTGTCTAAGTATTTATATGTTACATATTTATTACCCTTTTATCATTTTCCCCCACAGACTTTAAAAACAATTTTTAAATATTTTAATAGTTATAAATTTAATATTTATAAATTTAATTTAAAATTTTAATTATCTTTAAAAATAACGATCTTTTGGTGGTAAATGATTGAAAGTCATGTTTAGGTTGCTCTAGTTAGACTTCAAGTTGTTTTATTTACATATTTGTCTCTATTCTTATGAGAATGCGACGTTTATGTTTTTATTTCCATATATTTTTATTTGAGATGCAAAAGACAATTAGACAAATTATAAATATAAAATTATACAAAACAAAATTACAATTAGACAAAATCTCGCTTTTTGGCCTTCCAAAATCCTTTAGGAAGTAGTTTCATAAGTACAAAGTATTAGTACGAGGCCTAAAATAAGAGGTGATATGAGGCAGGGTATCGAGATTTCGAGAATCGAGATGTCAAAAAATTCTCTATCTCTTTAAGAGAAGGTTTTTCTTTTATTTTTTAAGGTTTTCATATATTTTAGATAAATTAAAATATTTAATGATAAATTTTTTAAATAATATTAATTTATTTATTTTTAATAATTAATTTAAAACAAAAATGTTCAAAACAATTTTTATTAAAAATTTCTTTTTCCTCTTATTTATGAATTTTTGTATTCTTCAATTTGTGGTAAACGCTGATAATAAATTGGAATTGACTGTAAATGTTACATTTACAAATAATATGTATAAACCAGCGTTCGGCGCGAATTGCTGAGTAGTTTTAATAGCTTTTGGGTATTAAAGCTGACTCCAGCGTTATTACAATCGAGATAATTCAATTTGGGTTAATTTCCCAGTATTTGAAAACTTCAGACTCAAATGTCCAGTCTTAGACTCAAGCGACACCTTTGAAAATATTCTCATTCAATTCCTCTTTCAATTCCCCATCGAATGACACCTCAAGCATCTTTCAATGACTAATACTTCAAAAGTTATAAACTTTTGAATTTAAGTCATAAAAACATGCGGGCCTTCGGTCCGCATGTAATTTTTGCTAGTGATTTTTGTAATTTTTTCATCTATTTTTGCTAGCTAAAAATTATTAAAATAATTATACGGGGCCTTCGGCCCCGTATATTTTTAACATTAAATAGAAGTTTATTGCAACGCGTTCCCAATTTTTATAAAATAATTTTTGAGCGGTTGCCTAAGGCAACGCGTTTTTTGCAACGCGTTCCGTATTAAAAAAATATTTTTTATTTCTTGCGGTTGCCTTTGGCAACGCGTTTTCTGCAACGCGTTCCGAATTTAAAAATAATATTTTAAATTCTCGCGGTTGCCTAAGGCAACGCGTTTTTTGCAACGCGTTCCGTATTAAAAAAAATATTTTTTATTTCTGGCGGTTGCCTTTGGCAACGCGTTTTCTGCAACGCGTTCCGAATTTAAAAATAATATTTTAAATTCTCGCGGTTGCCTAAGGCAACGAGTTTTTTGCAACGCGTTCCGTATTAAAAAAATATTTTTTATTTCTTGCGGTTGCCTTTGGCAACGCGTTTTTTGCAACGCGTTCCGAATTAAAAAAAAACTAATTTTAATTTCTTGCGGTTGCCTTTGGCAACGCGTTTTCTGCAACGCGTTCCGAATTTAAAAATAATATTTTAAATTCTCGCGGTTGCCTAAGGCAACGCGTTTTTTGCAACGCGTTCCGTATTAAAAAAAATATTTTTTATTTCTGGCGGTTGCCTCCGGCAACGCGTTTTCTGCAACGCGTTTCAATTTCCTTTAAAAATAATTTTTAATTCTGGCGGGTTCCTCAGGCAACGCGTTATATGCAACGCGTTCCGAATTTTTAAAAATATTTTTTAATTCTGCGGTTCCCTCCGGCAACGCGTTATCTGCAACGCGTTTCGATTTAAAAAAATAATTTTAAATTTCCGGCGGTTGCCTCCGGCAACGTGTTTATCGCACTGAGTTACGAATCTTAATATTACGTTTAAAAAGTTGTAAAAATTAGAATTTTATAAAAAATTTTCAGTCCCAGACTCAAATTAATAAATGAGACTCAAGTGTCCTTTTCATTAAAAATTTATTTTCTAATATTCCCATTAATTTTTATAATTTTTAAAATTACTTTCAACTGATTTTAACCTTCAGACTCAAATATTCTACCCTCAGACTCAAGTGACCCCTTCAAAAATATTTTCAAAAAATTCGCCTGATTTTTGCACGTCAAATGACACTTCAATCATATTTTTCCGATAACTACTTCAAAAGTTACAAAAAACGCCTCACCGTTGCTTAACTTTCCAGATCGGACGGTCTAGATCGTCAAATTTAAAAAATTTTTCCCAAAATTTTAATTTTTTAAAAAATTCATAACTCGTTGCAAAAAAGTCAAATTAACATAAAACAAAGCTTATTCGATGCAGAATTTAAAGATCTATCTTTCATCTCTTATCACTTTTTTTCTAACTTCAAAACTAAATATGGTTAAGGTCACTTTTATGCAACATTCTCAAAAATGCACTTTTTACTCCATATCTTTTTTTCCGTTAATCCAATCAACTTGAAACCAACTTTTTTCTTAAGAAACCCACAACGCTCTACAACTTTTCTCCCAACCACTTTTTGCTCAGACCCCTCTAAACACCTTAAATCC